CCGCAGGCCTTAAGCTTAGAAATTCCCAGGGATAATTCAGACCGAATAAGACAAGGAAACAATTGAATGGTTTTAAAAAAAAAGTTTTCCAAGATCTCACAAACCTCCTGACCCAGAAGTTAATATTGCTTCTGAAGTCATTGAAAATTCCTGTTTTATTACAAGAATAATACATTTCATACACGGTAGATATTCGAGAGCTGCAGTTATTTTCACCTGTTAATCGACTTTTAGCTTGGTGATGTTACGTGACCACTGGAGGAGAGATTTGAAGAGATGTGCAGCAGTGTCTACTATATGTAAATATACACGACAGAAACATTTTAACTGTAAGAAAAAGGTGTAACGACATCGCTCTGTTTAGTATATAAGAAATAATGCTAGATCCTTCACTCAACTGAAGTGTGGATTTGGGGAGATAAAGGACTGCTTTTAGAATGCAGTATGTTGTAAGAGACTTGCTTTCAATGTTAGTAGTGACAGACACAAGTCATTCAGAATCTTTACTCCCTTTGAATGTTAGCTGAGAGGCATAGTGTGTACATGACTAGATAAACTAGGTACGCTCAAAAGGTAAGATTGAACAGCACAAGTGAATAGGCTTTGATCTAATCTCATAATTACTTTATATCTTGGGTTTAACCCTAAGCAGTATTTTCTAGAACAGTATAGAGAACAATTGGGTTTCACTTCTGTTTCTGAAATGTTGTGAAAGTGTGGTGTTGCCAGTTTCCAAACTAAGAGAATTTCAGAGATGAGTTGTTTGTTTCTCTTGAATTGTAATACAGCAATACTTCTCTTAAAACTGAAGGAGTGGCTCAGAGAAAGATGCATTATGGGAATCAGTGCTTGGGTTCAATGGGGATGTGATCAGAGGAACTTCTTTTCTTTTGTAGCAGCAATACGTGAGGGCTTCGTCGAGAAACCGGTAATAGCAATTCTCGCATTTCTAACACCTAATATTACGAAACTCCATCTTGCACAGAAAGCAGTTTTATTTTTAAATGACTGTATAGTTACTGAAGAAAACTGCTGCTATGTACAGTATCAGTACATTCAGTCTGTGCCTGCAAAGATGAACCACCGTCTCCACTCTTGGCAGCAGAGGGACACTGATGGGAAGAGCCTACTGTACGTGTGCCAGGCTGTTACCCTGTTATACTGGAATATCAATAAGCTAAACAGGCAAGATCACAGCAGAGCTCTGCTCATGCAGTGGAGTAGCAGAACAGTCGCAAATGGTGCTGACTGTACTGTTCAGTAAACATATGTATCACGCTGGAGTCTTTTTTGGCTGAGAGCTTGCATGCTGTATCTCACTATTCCCTGTCTTTAGTACCAGTAGTATGAGAATGCACATCTACAAGCTATGCTAAACGTGGTCTAGTGGCTTCTGCCTGGCCTGTGCGCATGTTAAAAATGTCCGTCCGCCCATTTTCTTATAGCTGTTGCCAGTTCAGGGTCGCAGGAGGGGCGGAGCCTGTCCAGGCTAGCAGTGGGCTCAAAGCAGGATACACCCTGGATGGGACGTCAGTCCATTGCTGTACATGTGTCTCTGGAAATAATGGCCTCTCTCTTAAAATAATGGCCAGGACAAATGGCGCTGTGGCAATTTAGCACTGAAAGAAGCGGCGCTAAGAGTGGTATTGCTGTACTGCAGTTCTGGTTAAAAACATCACCCCCTGAACTGGATAATTCCACGACATGAAGTTGTGATGGTCAACTCCCATTTCCACACTGGACTTCCTGAAACAGGTGAAAGAGTAGGTCTACAGGTTGTGACCCAGTGTCTCTGTATTGCATATTTCATAAGACTGGCACAAACGACTGACTGGTTTTTATTTCACAGATAGCAGCCCAGTGGGGCCTCAGTCGCTACTGACACAGCAGCTGCAGGAGAGCTGGCGCAGGTCACAGAGCCGGTATATCCCGGAGAAGCTGGTGTTTGAAGTGACTGATGCCAGTGTGGTGCAGGAGGGGACCTCAAAGTATGTGGTGAGTGCGAATGTAGCTGTACCTGTGACAGTGAAGTGTTGTCACATGTGACCGAGCAGCGCTGATTGTGTAGTGTGTGAAGGAGGGGGGGGGGGAGAGTATAAATTAATATGTAATTTTTTGTATAGACGTGATCTGATAAATGTGGGTTGTTTTGCATTAGAATGTATTATAACCTTTAGCATACAGTTACATCAGTATATTTTAAAACCTGTCTAGTCTATGCCTGTCTAGTCATGAATACTTCATTCTTCTTTTCAGCAGCGCTTTGTAATAGAAGCTGGGTCTACAATTAGAGCAGGTTGTGAACAGGAGTAGTTTTTCCACTAGTGTTTAAACATTTATGCAATGTATCACAAACATCTCTCATAAAAACATATTCCTTGTGTGAAGTATAGCTAAAAGGGATATAGGAACAACTAGAAAGAATCTGGTGATGGCTGGTGCTGATTGTGGTGGTGTCACAGGCCTCTCCACAAGCCTGTGCTGTTAGTGTGCTGAGAAATTGCTTTTGAAGTGCATTGGTTATTGCTGGGGAGTTTTTGCTGAGGAGACATCGGACATGCATCCGTACAAAATGTGCATTCTGAGGGTCGGCCAGAGATGCTGTGAAGCCAGGCCTTAGCTAGTTCACCCTGCAGATTACATCTGGCAGCCCACTGAAACTCAGCAGGTGTGAGCCTGGCCAGTACCTGGATGGGAGACCTCCTGGGAAAGCTGAGGCTGCTGCGGGCAGAGGTGTCAGTGGGACCAGTAGGAGGTGCTCACCCTGTGGTCGGCATGGGTCCTAATGCCCCAGTATAGGGACAGGGACACTATACTGTTAAAGAAAAGGTGCTGTCCTTTAGATGAGATGTAAAACTGACATCCTGACACGCTGTGGTTCCTGGGGTTTTTCTCAAAAAGAGTAGGGCCAAATTTCCCCCTGGTCTTTACCAGTCATGGCCTCCTAATAATCCCCATCTATAAACTGGCTTCATCTCTCTGCTCTCCACCTCACTGAGAGCTGGTGTGTGGGGAGCGTACTGGATCTGCCGTTGCATCTTCCAGGTGGGGCTGCACACTGGTGGTGGTGGAGGGGATTCCCATTACCTGTGAAGCGGTTTGAGTGGAGTGTCCAGAAAAGCGCTATAGAAGTGTAAGGAATTATTAGTATCCGGCCTGTTAAGCTGGTCTCCTTGTCCGTCCTCAGCTCTACACCATCCATGTGATCAGGTCGGGCACGTTCGACAAGACCCCGGCGGTCATCACCCGCCGCTACAGGGACTTCGAGCAGCTGCACCGGCGGCTGCGGCGGCGCTACGGGGGCGAAATGGAGGGCGTGTCGTTCCCGCGGAAGAAGCTGCGCAGGAACTTCGCGGCGGAGACGATTGCCAAACGCAGCCGGGCCTTCGAGCAGTACCTGACGCACGTGCACTCCCGCGGGGAGCTACGGCAGGCCCCCGTCTTCCTCGAGTTCTTCTACCTGGGCGACCTGCTGGCCGGCCAGAGCCTGCTGCGCACCGGCCTGTACCAGGAGGCCCTGGGGTCCTTGGTGAACGCCCTGAGGCTGCAGGAGAAGCTGGGGTTCCAGCCGCAGCTGCCGCCACACAAACCTCGACAGCACGGCCACTGGCTTTTCACCCTGTCCGCCCTGGTTGCCTGCTTCCAGGAGCTGGACCAGCTGGAGGAGGCGCAGGAGTACTGCGAGCGGGCGCTGAAGGACCTGGCGCCCTCTCGGGACGCTCTCCAGCAGCAGCAGTTCCACCACCTCCTCATCCCCCTACTGCAGGCCAACGTCAGGCTCTCGTGGAAGATCTCCAAGGACAAGCGGCAGTGGGAGGCTCTGCTGCAGGAGCTGAGGAACTCGGGGGTGGACGTGAGTAACCAGCCAAGCCTCAAAGAGTACCTGGTAAAGGAGAGCCTGGAGGACTGCGAGAGAGACGCCAGGCCCAAGGTCAAAGGTGATGTGGCCTAGGTCATTTTTATCATCTGGACATATAAAGGGAGTGATGTTCTTAGGATTATTTTTGTGTATACATATTGCATATATTTATAATATATATTTACCTGAACAGATAGTTTGCACAAAGGAAACTGACCTTAGGTCATTGTTTTATGGTTAGACAGGCCTTCAGATTCATTTAAGATTAAAGGTAAGTTGGGATCTGTCTCTAACATTCCCGACTTGCTCTCTGCCCATCAGAAAAAGGGATTTTTGGCCTTTAATGAAACATAAGGGAGGAAAAATAAGGGAAAACGACTGGGGAAAGAGAACACGGACACAGTAATGCACTATTTTAAAAGATGTTGCTAATATATTCCAAATCCTGTCAGATTTCAACTTCCGCCGCTTAGTTTACTAATGACAGGTGTTTGATGCCGAGATAAAGTCCTTTGGGAAAGATCATCGTTAGAAGCTCATGTAAGCATAATACTGAAACACAGAAGAAACATTCAGGCCTAAGGATTTAATCAAATGCTTGAAATATTTATCAAACAATTCAGAAAGTTCACATTATGAAGCATGACACTTCATTTGTACATTTCAGCCCTGTGGCACAGTTGTCTGCAATTTTCAATCCTTTACATTACAAGGTGGGTGGAGCTGAACGGAGGGAGGTCAGTGTTTGGCTGATCGCTGTAAGTCCGTTGTACCATGCTGTGAGATTCCGGAAGGCGGGATCCTGTTCTGTAGTTGTGTACATGGCACACAGGGCAGGCAGAGCTGCCCAGAGCTTGTGCATCACTGAGCGCACTGTAGCCGCTCTGAGTGCATGCAGCACAGCCCGTCTGTCTGCCACTCCACGCAGCAAGGGAGTGTCCTGGCTCTCTCTGCACTTGTGCGACTGTCCACGCATCCTTTCTGCCACATCCACAGGCATTGCTTTGCTCTGGAAGGAGAGGTCGGATCAGTGGAGCTTCAGAAGTTCACATGTAAACCTAGATCGTTGCTTCTGGAGCAGCACGTATTGAAATCATACCTTCTGTCGCCTCTGTTCTATATAACTCCTAGTCGGGGCCTCGGTATAGTCTTATTTATACGGTTTTAAATCCCTCTTGAATGACCTCCTTGCTGAAACTGTCAGCTCCAACAGCAGAATCCAGACTTCTGCAGCTTGCTGTGTTTTTCTTCTTCTTTGCATTTCCCATGTTACTTCCTTACTCCAGTCCCTCCATTTGGCTCCATATTGTTCCAGTGTGTGTATCCGTTTCAAACCCTTGTCCTTACGTAGCGGTCCGCAGCACTGTGCTCGTACCCATCTTCAGACGTTCTCTCTGCTCTCTCACCGGGGCCCAGAGCCCTTCAGTCTCCACCCTTCTCTGCGTTGGGAGAACTACCTCCAGAAACAGGTCCTGCTCAGTTCATAATCGCCATTCAGTGTCTTCCTGTGATCTCTGAGCTCTCATCTACATTTGTCAGTGTGTCCTGGACTCTCCAGCTGGTGGTTTGATCTGCTTCTTGCTCACTGCATTTCCAGCTTATTTTCGGCCTTATTGTTTGTTCACTTGTACGTACATGGCTGTTACTCATCTAATGTAAATGTCTTATGTATTGTAAGTTGCCCTGGATAAAGGCATTAGCTGCATAATTATTAACATAATTTGGTGTGCTCTGAGTTCTACAATGCCTGCAAATAATCTTCAGGTGTTGGCTACATTTCTTTTTGCAACAGTCTTTCTTTGGTGTTCTGCTATTTAGAGGGTTAATACGTAGTTCTGGCAGTTTCCATGCATAGCTCTTACCAGCCTCTGGATGGGCTGCTGTTGACATAGGTTTGCCAGTTACAGTTTCTTCCTGCTGACAGCGTTGATCCCACCGATGTTCTGTAGTACTCAGGTCAGGAGGAGAAGATGGTGTGTGCCTGCCATGAACACTTGCTTCAAGTGTGTACATTTACCTGCCTGATTGTTTATCCATTTCAAATGAGAAATTTGAGAAAAGTCTCAGTGGAATTTTATTGTATCAAAGAAGGGAAATGCAGTAATTTTTGTTTAGTGCACAGATTAAGATTCCGTCTTGGCAGCTGATGGTTAAGCTATTACCAATCCAGATGACTTACAGAGCAGCATCAAGGTGCACTAGACTTAGCTCAGGTTTTTGTGCAGACTTACAACTGACATATTTCATACTGAATATGGATTCCAAAGTATGTTGACACTCTTGTTCTTGTGCACAGTACTGGATTAAGACAGATTCATTTTTATGCACTAGTGACCAATAACTTTTCAAGGGAATACTTTCTGTAAGAAAAAGTGTGATTGTATTGACCACTTAGAACGTCCTAATTTGTATTGAGTTGTGCTGTTTATATGGAGAGATTAGTATTTACAGATGTGGGCACTGTGTTCACTTTGAATAATTTACCCATTTGTACCAGTGGTTTCAGAGACCATGATTAATGCTGATTTTAGACTACTTAATGTTATTTTAGGTGAACAAGTCTTGAATGGTTTATTTTGGTTTATGGGCCCAGTTCTATGTCTAAAGTATGTTCATCAATTTTTATTAACATAGACTTTCAATATAGTCATATAAATGCAGGTTTTATGGCTATAATGAATATTATGCTCTAATTATTTCCCAAACCTATGAACTAAGAAATTAAGGGATGTATTTTTTTTTTTGCCTTGCAGCTGTCCTTACATTTACTGCCTCTCTATGTATTTAATTTGTTAAAGGGAACTAAAATCTCCAGATGAGAAGTGTTTTTTTTTAAGACTTAATCTAAACCTGTTAAAACATTATACACACATAAGTGACACATTACACACAGAAGCGAAGGGATTTTCTTAAACACTTATCCAAGTTTAGAGGAGATAGTTTATTGCTTTTTAAATCCACGTGTTCCTTTTATCTCCTTGGATTTGGCACATGCAACCACTATGCAGAAAACGGAAGTTAATGTACTTTGTGGGTATGCTTTTTGAATACATTTAATGTCACACCCATCTTATGCAGTCTTGATGCACATGTAAACCACATCAGGATACTCTTCGTGGTTTGAAGGTTATGGGAATGGAAATGTTACTCTTATGGGTTGGCGCTGAGTATTTTTTTTAAACATAATTTGGTCCCCCAACCTTATGCCAGCCTCTCATCGAGACATCAATCAGAGTCATTAAAGGTGTTCCATTTTGTTACTTTAATAATTTCAGTTAGTCATCCAATTACCCTAATGTACTGTACACAGAGAACATAAACAACTCCAGGAATGTGGCCTTTATATCCTTGTGAATATCTGCTGTGTACAGGCTAGTTACGTGGATAATGTGTACTGTGTTTCTGTGCATTGCTTTTACATATTACGGTATGTTACACAAATCATTTCAATGTAATTTCATTGTTACGCAAACCAAAAATACATTTCCATGATCACTGAATATTAGGAGGTATAGATTTGTAATTGTAGTGTTGAGACATTGTTTCCTAAGGCTAAAAGCATTTTATTGGTGAATTATTTTAATTTCACAGGAGTGAGTACCTGTTTTTGGGCCAAGTTTGCAAGTTATCTGTGCTTTGCAAGCTACAGTGGCTGTACTGATCCAATATCCCTTTCATCCGGAAAAAATGTCCCAATAACGTACCTTTTTTTAAGGCAGTGTTTCACAGTCCTGGTTCTTGACTTATGGTTCTTTAGAAGTTATTTCATTAGAATA